ATGCAGAAAAGAAGGGCTTGATGGGAAAACAGGGGGTTTCGTCTAAGATGCTCCATATTGTAAGTAACCCCTGAGCAGTCCTTGCGAAGTATTTGGGGAGATTTTTTGTCTGAAAGACACTTTACAAAAATAAATTGTAATTGAGTTTAATAATCTTCCCCTTTTCAGAAAGGGCCTGACAGATGCTGCCTAGTGCTCACTTCTGCCCCATTTCAAATATTTTACCTTATTTGGATGAAATATATTATTTTTCTAATGAAAGGAGGTTGGTTTGTTTTTTTTTTTTTCCCAAAGAGCTGGTTTTCCCTTCGTCCAGCTGGTGCCTTTATTAGGTTAGTGCTTGCTCCCTTTTGGGGATGGGATTGTTTTTTTCCCTGAGCTGGGAGAGACCATGCCAGCCCCTCAATCTACAAGTGCGCAGTTCAGAGCTTCTACTGCACAGCAAGTGGAAGAGTTGGGCCCTGCCCTCCATCTTCCCTCTTCCCTGATATCCCGAAATTCACCTGAGGTACAGTTCCATAATTTTATTTCATTTTTTAAGAGCATATATAGTGGTAAAAGCCAGCCTTTTCTCAGCATAATAGGTGGACACAGCTCTAAAGGTGCCTACAGAGGCAGACTCCTGAGGAAGCAGCACAGTCTGGGGATAAGACAATAAAAGGGAAGATGAAGAAAGCTGGAAGCTCTCTCCTGTGCCCTTAGGTAAATCATTTCCTATGTTTCACTGCCCAGCATCCCTTTATTTATGTTTTCAATCCCTGGAGGCCAAGCCCCTCTCTTGCTTTGCCCTTGCATACAACCCAATGGTATGAGAGGTCAAGTCCAGGCTGGAAGACTCTCAGCTCAAGCTTAACAGCAGTTTTTGGTGTGCAGGGTCGCCACCACATACAATTTGTGCTTAACATAAAGCATCACCACACAGAAGGGACCTTCCAAAGCTTCATGTTGTCAAAGCCCTTGGGAAACACAACCTGCTGTGTGTGGAGGGTCTAGTCAAGCATGGAGACCTTGACTTTAACACAACAAGTTTGCAACAAAAAGCTACTCTGGACCTGCTGTCTAGCCTTTGTCTTCCCCAAGCATCACATTGCCCCACCAAAGGAAAAGCAACGGCAGCCTCCATTTTTGTAGAAGGCACTGCAAATGAAAGCAATGGAGTAGACACAGACTGGGCTTTTCCACAGCCCCCTCCCTGCCCCGGGGCAGCAGCCCAGCATATACCATGCTTCCTTCCACCAGTACACATCAGGATAGACCTTCTGGCAACCCCTCTAACAAACCCCAGACCAGGGTGAGGTAGCCACTGGAAATACAGCCAGTTCCCCTGCTCTATTGAAGACAAAATCAAGAGAGAATATAGTTATTAAAAAGCACTTACTTGCTAGAAGGACCTGAGTTGCAATAAGCAAAGGCAGATCTAAAATGTCTGCCTCCAAGGCAGGGCAAGCTGGCTAAACTGACCAGCAGGCTGCTGCAGGAGGGCAGTGCAGCTCCTCGCACAGCTGTGCAGGCCAGGCCAGGCAGTCAGGGGACAGTGGGTACAGCTGGGTGCTGGGTGCAGCCTTGTACTGCCCTCACTCCACAGCACAGCAGCAATGGGGGCTGGGCTCTTGCTCCAGGGCACAGCAGTTCACTGGGGGGGGTGGGGGGGGGGTTGGGGAGGAGGACCTAGCATGAAACCTGGTTCCCAAAGTTGGCTTTCTCTGCAACTTGCCTTTCTCACTTCTCTGTATGTACCAGCCAGTATTTTTTACCACCACGTGTGGAAACTGAGGCACACTTGTAAGTAAAATACTTTGCAAAGTATCACGCAGCAAACCAGCAAGATCATAGGGAATCCTACAGTCCATCCTCTTCCTTCTGATCCCAAACACTGTTAGGTTACACCCCCAACACACAAAAGGCAATTAAAAAAAATTCTTCCTGCTTCTGATGAAGATGCACATAGGACTTATTTGTCATTATTGTTATTTGTTATTTGGGGGTGAGAAAGGTTGGAAAAAGATGATCAGGAGACAGCTCTCTTAACCCTTTCCCACTTTGTCACATTTTTGAGTTCCCCACATTTCTCTTGCAGCTATTGAAAAGGGAGGTTTTCTGTCCTCAAATTACTGGAAAGCACCAGCCTGGTATTGTTTCACCCAGGAGAGCGAGCGCAGGCACACAGGGTTTCACTGAAACGTGCTCAATGACGCTGTGTGCAGAGGAACCTCCCTTCACTTGCTTTCTATATGCTATCAAGGACCTACAAAAACCATGTTACAAACCCACCGAACTCACCAACTGGGGTGGTGTTATTCTTCTTCCTGTGTCAAAACAAAGGCTGATTACACAGTAAAACAGAGTACTCGAATAAGCCAGATGGTGGGTAACTGCTGCTGCTCTCCTTCTTGTTCTGCAGAAAAAAGGTTCTATACCTGCTCATCTTTCTGCTAATATGATGCCATTCTCAGTGCCTACTGGCCAGTGGGCTAAACGTTTCACAGGGCAGCTGATCTAAGAAGTTTGTTTCTAGCAAAAAAAAAAAAAAAGAAAAAAATTACAAGTTAGGAGTCAGGCTACATGGTTCATAAGGAGCAAAATACTTGCCCTACAACTGTTGCCATGCTGGAAAGACAAGGAATGCAAGACAAAAGAATAAAACTTGTGATTCATGACAATACCTGCTGGTAAGAAGGTCTGGCTTCTTCCAAATTCTCTGCTGGTGGGTTGGATCTCTTCAACAAAGTACACAAACGCCCCATCAGCAGCCAGAGGCCCAGAGTCAGATTTTCTGAGCAACAACGGCTATGATGGAGTTTTCTGGGATTCATCAGGTTAGTGAAAGGAGAAACTGTGACCTATTGAATTGGTAAAGGTTGCAAGAAGCAAAAACTAAGGGAGGGAAAAGGGCAGTTGAAGAAAACTGCCTTTTACTCTGCACCAGAAATCTTGAGGTAAATGAATTGAACACTGGCAACATGGAGGAAAAGGGGGGAAAAATGAACCCACAGGGATGCTTGTACTGTAAACCTCGTAAGTCACTCTGCAAGGCACATACCTCAGCAACATATTTTCCACATTTCACCAACTGCTGTTGTCCAGGCACTTTCTATTTTCAAAACCTTCTATGTATATAAAATGTACACAGGCAGGACAATACTTTTTCATCACATCCCTGCGTTCAGTCGTGTTTTCTTTTCACAAGGATTCTTGGCTTGGATAAATAAAAAGTGCCATCTCTTAAGAAAAGCCTTTCCTTTAAAACACTTTTAAATTTGCCCTGTTTTAGCTAAACGTGACGTTCTTTGTGAACGTTAAACAGTGGAGAGAGAGACTGAGAGAGGGAGAGGGAGACACACACACACTCACTCACTCCTGGGGAAGATATTCGTCCATTTAAGGAATGAGAAATCATCACATTCAGCAGCAGGTCTAAATACAGTAATATGAAGGTCCCTTTCGCTCCCCCTGAGCAGGAAAATGTCACTGTGTACCAGACACCCAAATACTCAGGAATCAAGTAAATCCCTCATTTTTCAGAAGGGAGCCAAATACTTCTGTTGAACAAAGATGGGACTGCAGTAGCTACAAATTACTTGCTGCACGCCATTTCTTTCAATGGCTTCTGTACTGACATGGCAGGGTTAGACCAGTCATGGGATATGGCACAGCATTCCCTGCTGCGAGATAAGAGTGAGGGGCCATGGGATATCTCACACACTCCCTTCAGCACCTCCTGCTGCCGGGGCTGGAAAAGAGGGGAATGCTGCGTTCTGCACCCTGCAGAGCCTCCTGCTGGGAGGAAAGGAACTGGAATAGCTGCATTTTACTCACTGGACGATACATTCATCTCACCCTCTGCAACACCGGAGACAGCCTAGCACTACAGTATTGCTGGAGCTATTTATATTGCATCTTACAGTGCACTTGCACCATTCTCTACACTGCCTCCTACTGAGATAACCCAGTATTGGAGCAGTCAGAACATCAATCACAGAAAACATTTTATAAGTACTGAATTTCTGTAATAGTCCCGTTTCCCTCCCTTTACCACCCTGCATGCATATTTCTCCCCAAAATAAGAGCCACAGTAATCCAGTATCAGCCTGGTGTTAAATAGTGGTAACTCATATTTATTACAATTATATACAATCGTATTTTATATTTGAAATCTATACATGATCACACAGATGAGCACACTTGCTTGGTGAGGACAGTGAGACTCAGTTGTTACAAGAATTGCTCTGCTAAGAGGCTCTGATGCAGTGAATAATATAATTGGACACCACCATTTTACCAGCTGAGAACACAATGCTACAAATGAGAAGTTTCAAAATTCACTGGTTTAATTTGGGTATAGCCCCAATGGGGCAAAGAAAGGCTGGACTTGGCAAGAAGGGTCAGTGGTATACCTCAGAGCTGGAACTGTTCCCTCTTCTGTAAAGACTGCTTTGCTGAGGCAGGTGCCTGTCACTGGGTAGGTGCAGGTCTCAGCTGATCATTTATGATGGGTTTTCTCCTCATTTAGGGAGAAAAACAGGCTAAGAACCATGGCAAAGATTCAGAATTAACCAGCTATTTCAGCATCTGATATCACCTCATTCATTCATTCAGGGCAGCTATAAATAAAATGTAAGATGTCAAAAACTGATGCGAGCTCCTTGTCTTTGAAGGAGGAAGGGTACTAATTGGGATGAGTGGGGTCAACTTCTTTCAAAGCCTTCTTTTACTGGGGGAGCAATCAGTAACAAAGCCATCTGTTCTCATGGATTTTACTGTGGCCATGAAAACTGGACTTGGTCCCTAGCAAGAGGCCACTTTGATGAGTGTAAGCATGTGGGGTGGAAATAGTGTCCTTTGGACCCCACAGAAATTTAGTGTTTTTAGATACTAGGTAGTTTCAAGGAATTTGAGGCCTGACACAAGGCTTGGAAGAGCCAAGACTGAGATCTGGTGAGGAATTCAGGGTTAAAACGTTCTTTTTTTTGGCAACAGAGTATCAAGTAGCTTGAGAAAGAAAACAGGGTTATTTTGGGAAACAGAACTAGTTTGGGCCTTATGTGGGGATTAAAGGCTTGTGAAATCAAAGAGCTCGGGACAGATTGGTTTCTGAAATTGGGTAGAAGGACTCTAGGATGCAGCAAAGAGGCTGACTGTTTCAGGAGAGATGGCGGTTTTGTAAGAGGACTTATTCTGTAGCTGTGGTGCATGGTAAGGCGATTGGTCTTCCAGCCTAGGCAGTGACCCCAGCTCATGGGGAGAAGGTGGGTCTGGGAGGGGAGAAGACGCCACTGCAACACTGCAAAGCCCTGTGGTGAAACAGGGCCCACCTTGTTCACTGGGCAATCATGACCCTACTCAAGGTCAATCATGGGAGAATCACTGGAGGGGATAGTGGCACTTCTCTCCACAAAATGGGAGACGCACCAGGGACAGTGCAGGAGGCTAGGGAAGATGTACAGCAGCAGCAGCAGAAGCCAGGGTGCCTTAGTCAATCTCATTCTCGTTGCTGGCTCCCTCAGGTCTTCGTAGCTTTTCCACTTGCTCATTGATCTGACCATCCCCTCCTCGCCGGTCCTCAGTCTGGACACCCAGACATTCCTCCTCATCCACATGGCTAACATCATCATCCTCATCGTCCTCTTCCTCCTCTTCACTCCTTTTGGTTTCTCTTTTCTCCTCCTCACCCTGCACCTCCATCCGCACTTGGCTCTTGACGTCGATCACTGCCTTGTTGCCCTCCTCCGTGCTCAGCAGATGGCAGCTGACCTTTGAACCCTCAGGGCTGTGGTTCTCCTTGACTGGTGATGAGGTGGTAGACTCGTTGCTGACAGGTGAGATATCACTGCTGCTATTATGGTTGGCAACAACAGGGTTGGAGGGTGAGCTTGGCTTCACTGGGATCTGCCATGACGGGATCTTAGGAGCCGAAGGGGAGGGAGGGAACTGCCTCCTTGGGGGAGGGGAAGAGGGGAAGAAAAGGAGAGAAAGGGGCTTTTATTAAAAACACTGAGGGGTTATCATTAGAGAGAATGGTATTTGCACTGGTGAAGCCATATAAAGCAGGACCGAAACTGCAAGTCTCCTTTGTCATAAATGAACAAAACCAAGGCCACTTCACTTCTTCAGCCAGAATCTCAAAGTGCTTTACAAGCACCCAGTAATCGAGCCTGCGCACAAGGAAAATATCACAGCTGGGCAATCCGAAGCACTAAAATGATCTGGTTTGGCCAATTTCACAGAGTATGTTAGCACTCAGGAATGCTGCCTGTGGAAAGACATGAGTGTCCCTTTATAAAACAATCACTAATTAATTGGTAAAGAAAATTCCCACTGGAGCAAGAAGTCAGACACACCAGGTCCTTGTGCCTGAGCCAAGGAATTTCACCACCTGGCTCTCACTTCCACTGTGATACACAGCTATTGCATGCTGGCTCATTACAATCCAGAGCCTATCTCCTAGTCCCAGCGTGCACTCTACATGTTTGGGCCAGGTCCTGGCTACTGCAAACTGGTTCAGCTTCTCTGACTTGAATGGAGTCATACTAGCCTGCACCAGCTGATAAAGCTGGCTGCTCTGTCCTCAAGTCCTTTCCAGGTGGGCTTTAAGGATTTGATAGTAACAGGCTAATGCCCAGCCCTAATCGGAGAATCCAAGTATCAAACAGGACAAATATCAGTGCAGTGGGGAGCACTGGTGCCCTCGGAAAGTCATCCATCATGAAGAGCAAAGCAAAAAAGCATGTTTGACCTAGTACTCCCCATGCATCCTTGCTTGTGTACGTGAAAAGTGAGGGTATGAAGAGGTATCAGATCAAGCTCTGAAAAGGATGCTGTGTGGCAGGGAGTTCTCATGCCCCTCAGGTGAGCTGGTTAGTGCCACGGACAAGACTAGAGCAGACAAAACCTGGCTGCTCTCCTACAGTGAGCGCTCAAACACAGCAGATTTCATTTTCTTAGATTGAACTAGGAACAGTAATTGCTCTCACCTCCCTCTTCCTGCTGTCACCACCAGCCATCGAAGAACTCTGCTGATCTAACCTCCATCTCCTGCGAGTGCAATAAGCTAATGTCTGCATTATTCAACCAGTATCATAAATGCAATCAACAAATTCAATCTGGAGACTTTCTTGGCTCCGGTGTTGCTGCTGCCTCCTCACTGCAGAAACATTTGTTGTTTTTGTTAAAAAACAACACCCCAAAAAGTTTTCTTTTTTCCAAAAAGCACTTATCCCGCAGCTGCAAGTTTCCCATTGCTGAAGAGGTGTCATTAAGTAATGCTGTAATCACTAGCAGTGATGCTAGTATGACCAAACTTAACAGACAGTAACTTAGTATGTCTCCTCAATCCTCCAAAGCTTTCTACTGTGACTCCTGGGAGGAATGGGAGGTGTAGCAAGAATTTAAAAGGCTATTAAAGACTATACACTTTTCAGACTTATGAAAAGCCCACTTGCTGAGATCGAGAACATGTCTAGTCCAATCTTAGACTGATCTCTTAGGAAACAGATGACTTGAGAAGATTTAGTTACGTGTAGAAGGAGTCATATCAGAGTGAAAGGATCAATAGCTGAAAAGCTAGATAAACTCTTAAGTAATTTACTTGGGGAAAAAAAAGAATTTCATCAAGAACTGAGATCTAATCCCTGTTCTTAGGACTGTCCCACAGGCTGGGATTTATATCACCTCATTTCAGACATCTACTACATTATAAGATGTCTATTACCTGAGTTAGTTAATTGAGAGAAACAGGCTCTGCTGAAGTGCGACTCTTTTCACTCTGGTTATGCCCTAACCATGAACAGGTCAGCTGAACTGTGACTCTCTCTGTAACAGAATGCAGGTGCAGATGCAGTCAATACCTCAATCTAGGTGAGAGGCATCCTAACTGTGGTGAATGGCAGAAAATTCCCCTATCGTAAACAAAAAGGAAGAATCTTCTTAATTATGCAAAGCGCTCTGTGATTTAAGGCAAGTTTGAAAAGCATTTTGAGACCTGCAAACAGAAAGTGATAGTGGAGTGCAAAGTGGTATTATTAAAATAGCAATAACAGGATATAGAGCTAGTTCCTGTTGGAAATTACTTTCCTCTCCATGACTGAAAGAATCCCAGAAAGCAACCCTTTCCCAACACAATAATTTGCTCACATATTCCATCCATACCGGTTCAGGAGAAGTCCTTTTAATGAGTAGATCTCAGATTTCAATTCATTAATATTCTGCGACTCCAGAATCCAGTTGGTGGAAGTTGTGGCCTAGAACATGAAAAAGAAGACATAAAGATCAAAGTATGAACTGGGAGACAGTTCACAAATGTCACTTTTTTTTATGTTATCCTCCCATCTGGGAATCTTGAGCCCTGAGGATAACATACATAAGCTCTATCATTTGAAATCTCTCAGATCTGAGCAAAACAACTTCCACAATAAAGAAGGACCTGAATGAGTCCCAATGATGATCAAAAATAATAATTGTCTCAGGGTGCTACAACTATTCAAATATTTGCTGTCCGTTTGGGGGACTCACTAATCTTGTCTCCAACATACCATGCACAACCATTGCTGAAGCATCTCAAGAGGACCTTTCTTTTTTGATGAGGTGGCCAGCACTCGTGAGAGTTCACACAAAGCTAGGTCTACATAGGATGTTTTCCACCAACACATCAGATAGACAACAATACACAAAGTAGTAAACCAAATCATTTGACACTGACCTAATGAATGATTTCTAGAGAAGAAGAACTAGAATCCTGAAAGGCACTGGGAGTTGCACCGAATCAGGTCCTTTACTCTTTCCTGTGACTGCACTTAGCTGAAGCAACAGATTCAAATATTATATATTAACAACTATTTTAAAATAATTTGTTCATTTCTCCTAAATCATGAAATAAAGAATTTATTATCTGCACTCTGTGGTGTTTGTTTAGAGGTGGGTTGATAAATCCATGCTTGAAAGTTGCAAAAATTTTCCCTACTAGATCTGACGAATTAGAGCTATGCTTGAGTTACTAGATAGTATCTCCAGGAAGCAGCTGGGCTAAGCACTGTCTCTTGGATATTTCAAGGCAGTGAATGCAATTTGGTGGGGAAAGATGATAAGTAACTCATGGAAGCCTGGTACAGCTGCTGTCAGCACTGCATCAGAATTGCTATGGGATATCAGGCAGAAATTAGAGTAGGGTAACAACTGAGGAGAACATGCTGCAGATAATAATTTGGCAATTTTTCTTTTAACCCTTTTGGGACCTTGAGAAATGGGGGGAACATTCTGAAAGACAGATCATGGCCTGTGGTTACCCCATCCTATCAGTCTAGCAACTCCTGTAGCAATGGGCTGAGTATGGGACCAACGAACACTCATATCTAGCACCTCCCATTATAATTTCTGCTAAAAGCCATTAGGAATCAACCCATTTGTGAGCATTGCTCTAGACCTACTCCTAATAAATCTCCTGACAAAGGAAGCCAGGACTGGAATAACACAAAACTCCTCCTCAGCAGTTCCTGCTAGATGTAGCCAGAACTGGTTGTTCCTGCTTATTCTTTAAACAGACTTCAGCTAGTGCTGAGTAACCCTGAACACCTTCGCAGCCAGCACTCCTCACAGTGACTTCTGGGCTGTGAACCCAGTGAGCTGGGAGAGGCTCAGTCTGTAGTAGCTGTGATATACACAGATGCGTTCCCTTGGGATTCACACTCCCAGCCCTCAGACAGCAAGAATCCAGGAGCCACTGTTCTGGCTTTCCAAGACCTTGAAAGCTACAGCAGCACATTAACAAGGGAGTGATTTCCACTCACTGGCCTGCAAAGGACTCAAATTTCCAAAACACATATGGTGCCAGATGCCTAGGATTTCGAAATAAAATCTGACATCTGGGGCTTTTTAGCCAGTCTCTTTAAAAAACAGTTGTAGAAAATTCAAGCCTTGAATTTTTATGTACGTTTTTTAATTACTTAAAGTCCCTCTTTTTAATTTTTTACAGCATGCCAGTAGGAGTTTGAAAAGCAGATATAAAAACTTACATTACAGCTGAGAAAACACAGCTTTTATTCTTTGGTTTGTGGGGTTGCCCAAGTTTTTCTTTGTACACATGAGGTTTAGATATCATAACAATGTGTGCTACCATTTCAGTGCAGGGGGTAGAGAGGGGGGAGGAAAAACTTCTTCAAGACTCTCTAAACCACCAATACTCTTATGCCCTTTTTCCTTCTTAAAGCTCAACATGTGGTCTTAATCTTAACACTTAAGACCTGAAAACAGTTTTCCAATTTCCGGACTGGCTCCAGGCCACTGACAGGCCACAGTTCCCAAGGAAAATTGAAGTAGAGTGTTGTGACCATAAACTGGCTTTCATGGTTGGGTTTACAGCTGTGCCACTGAGGGATTCCTACTGTACAGTGTGCACACCACATAGTCAGCTGTGGCCCACCAGTTACACACCATCAAAGGGTTTGTACAAGATTAAAGTACAGGGAAGGGGAGAAGACAACTCTTCATGCTATAGGTAAAAAACTGTAAGCATTGTCTAAAGGATTTCCCAGTAAAAAGACAAATCTCTCCCTGTACAGAGAATAGTGCAAGATGACTGGGCCCTGAATAATCACAAGTTGGTGAGTGAAAGGAAGACTTCATCCCTCTGTGACTGGTTCAAATCCATCCCACCTTACATGTATGTAACCAACACTTACTGGTTGATAGAATGCTTAGGCCAATGGCTGCAAAGTACTTTGGGGATGAAAAGCACTAATTCTCATTGCCAGAAAATCAATTTTAGTTAAAAGTGGTTACTTGTAGTTACACATGTAACAACACAAACTAGTCAGAACTGATGGTTTTATTGCCAGGGTCAAGTCAAGAGTCAAGGGGAATGAGCCACTGTGTGTCACTAATGTGGTTGTGATGGGGCCAAGTGTTACACTGAGATGACCAAAATCATTGAAAAAGAAACCAAATAGTAAGAATGCTCAGCCATTAACTGACCTGGATCTGAACAAGTGACTTAAATACAGTAATTCAAGTGTGTGCTTGGCTGAACAGGATTAAGTCATTGTTTTGACAATGTACAAGGGCACGGGAGAAGTATAAACATGTAAAATTACATATTACACACAATAAAACCTCTACACAACTGGCCTTTACCTCTTTTGGGCAGTGGACTAACAGCACAATTCAATTATTTCATCTCAAATACAATCCAGAAGACACAGAGCTGAGAACAGGTCTGAGGCCTCAGACACACAGGCTGCATACAAACCTATAGAGCAAAGCCCTCTCAGAAGTTAGATGTACTTCACTGAGCACCCAGTTAATATCCAGTGCTTCAAACAGCCTATGGAGAAGTCAGATGCAGAAAAACTGGCTGGGGATATGGCCAAGCTGAAGGCTGGGCTGTGAACCTAATAAGGTGTTTTCCATGAGCCCACAAAAGAAGCCATGCATGTTCCAAAGAAGATGATGATGTTCTAAAGATAAAGAGTTGGAAGCGGATACCTTAGAAGCAGCCAGTTCTTGGGTGAGCTCCTGGATTTTCTGTTGTTGCTGGATTAGTAGTTCCTGGACAGCTGCTAAAGTTGTCTGTAACTGAGTCACTGTGAGGGAAAAAGCATGAGAGCATTAAACTGAGATACATGCACGTATACACACTCACACACGTCCTTCCTGCTGTCTAGCTACAAAGATGCCTCTATTCCTACTATATTTAATTTATCTACGCCCGCCTGCTCACTTTAATCCATATGATTTATCTGCACTATGGGTAATCTACCTGCACTGCATCTAACCTCCAGTATTTCTAGTTTATCTTTCCATTGTATAGATGTCTATAGCCCACAGTATATCCGTCCAAAACCTCTCCCTTCTAATTATATTGGTTTATGATTTGTATATCTCCCTGAACTTACACAATGTTTGTATCATTTATCTATCTTGGGCCTCACACAGGCAAACACTGGGGCTAGCTCCAATATGGCAAGAGGCTGGTCTCAGGATTGACCAGAGTATCATGAGAAATGAAAGATGTTTTTCTTCTCACTCTCCACTAAAAAGTGTAATTAGCATCCTCCCACTCTCAACCCACCAGCTCCTTCAACCCCAACATCTTTAACAAACTTACTGCTGAAAATCATACTTTTTTTCATCCCACCAACTGAATATACTTTGCACTTTTCTGCTTTTATTTCAAGATAACACCCTGTATTCCCCTCTTACACCCCAACAAACACTGAAGAACTTCTGCTGGACTCCACCTCCAGCTGTAGGAGAACTTTTTCTACTTTGGTACTTTATCCAAAGCTTCCAGGCAGTAAACAAGCTGATAAAATAAAATAAAATTAAAAACTCTATTGGTGTGACAGGTAACAGCTAATCCAGACCATCATTAGGGCATTGGGTAATGAACAGACACCCTATAGAGTCAATAACAGAGAAGGTGGCTAAGGTCAGGGAGGCTCAGTAATTACAGACTCTCCTGACCCTTCCTCGGATTTTCAGATGGAAGGTGGAGGGAAAACACCAAAAAAAAGCCCCTGAAAACATCAGAGAAGCAGAAATTAAAAATGAACTTTACAGCCCTCCGAAAGGCTGTCATTTTATTCCCCTTATTAATATTCTGAGGTTGGGAGCCTTTCCGTAAAAACATAATTAATTGAGGCCGCGCCGACAGTAAACAAGCAATTTCAAATTAAACCGAAATGACGGCGGCTTCATTTGCAAATGTGAACAGATTCTCAGAGCAGATAAATGAAGTCACCACATAAAGTGGAGATGGAGGGAAAGAAAAGGGTGGGGGTCTTGGCAGAATGGAGGATACAGGGAGAAAGGCTTTGAGGGGTGAATTGATGGAGTCATTAATCTTTACCTGTCTGTGTCACGCTGCCACTCATCTCAGAAATGTTTGACTCAATCCTCTGAAGTTGTTTCCTGTCTTCTTTGCCTCCCATGATGAGAGGAAGCAGGTATTTCTGCATGGAGTACAGAAACTTTTTTAGGAAACAGGGATATGCAAAGCGGTCTTTCTAATTTACCTGAAACATTCTCAAAGCCCACCACCCAAACCTCAGCCTTTATCACAGAGCTAATGATCATGTATCCACACACCTGACTGACAAAAGAAATTCCCTCTACAGCAGGCATTAAATGAAGTTGAAGAAGAGAAGATATGAATTCTGTGGTTACATTTTTGGAGGTGCTAAAAAACAGTTCTGAACTCCATTTAAGGTTTCCTGGGACAGTTCTCAGTCCAGAGAAATATCCATCACATGTAAAGTACAATTTCAGATCTTACGCTCTCAAATGTGAACACACTGATGTGTCACAACATTTAAGCTACAAGGCAAGCAGAAGTGGGAAGAAGAGGAGAAAAGCCCAGAAAAGGCCAGAGGAAGCACAACCCGGGACATAAGAGGTATTATAAAATCTTTTGAACCTTGGCAGGGGAAAGGTTACAAGTCACAGAAGGAAAAGCAGAGATCTGGAGCACATGGAAGAGAGCTAAGGAACCAGGGCTAAAAGAAGTGAGAACCAAACTAGTACAGGATGGGAGGCAGTTCAGTGACACTGTACACAGCCATCAAATCTACCTCATTCTGCCCTTGCAGAGGAGGGACTGGATCTAATAGGTCACAACTCACACTTAATAGCACAGGTTTAAGATTTCAGTGTCGCTGTACAGTTCTTACCCTCACAAACCACATGTACATGTTTACACTCAGACATTCTGAAAAGCAAATAGCTTTGATGACTTTCATAAACAGCTCTCTCTTCATCTTCACATGGACAACCATGTTTTATCCTAGCATCCTATCTTTCATATAACAATCACTATTTGCAAACTCCCTCAAAATCCCTTGAAGGACAGAGGGACTTTATCAATCTCCAAAGATTTCTTACTCCTATAAAAGAATATGGGTCTCTGCTAGGCACACAAGCCTTATGAGGTTTGGATAGAGAGCAGAGCAAGATCTGTTAATAAAGAATATAGCAGTAGGATATGTTAACAATATGAGTGACATTATGCCAAAAAATTTATGCAAATCATCAATATGTGTTAGATATGTATGATTTAGTAACAGTAATGTGTTCAGGTCTGTGAGGCCCAGCAGCTGTTGTCTCATCATCTCTCTGGACACTTATCAGCTCCACCATTCTTTGCAAGAATGAAAAGATCAGTAAGGTTGGCATCACTACTTCAATATAAAATCACAGGGATAACATATCTCAGTAAAAAGCCATTCTCTTAAATCACGTCACTTTCCTTTCATAGATGGAACATGTTGCTTAATTGTGCCTCTCTCTCTCTCAGCCTCAGAGCCAGAAAATTAATGATAGGACAGAATAAGAAAAGTAGTTTTAAACTAGAAGGCCAACACTTTTATTTGTAAAATAGATTTTACTAAGCAAGGCAGTAATAGTTAATTAAAGAACGAACAGACATGAAAACCATCAACCTCTCATTAAGTCTTCATCTCTATCCCTTTTTCAAAATAAACCACAACGTCTACTGGACCAAAGCTCTGTACACTCAGTGTTGACCTTAACCGTTTACATCTTTCTATGCAGCCACAGGATATGATTGTTTACCAAAGACATTATCTAATGTCACTTACCACATTGCTGGAAAGCAAATCCAGAGTGAAAGAATGTGTTCAACTGGACAGCAGAATCATGCTTGCTCTACCTTGTTCTAAGCACACTGGAGTAGAACTACAGGATGTATGCCAGATCTGGAAATTAGCACCTCCTTTTCAACATTCTGATCGATCAAAGAAGATTCTTTCCTACTCAGGGTGCAGGATCACCAGTGGACAAATCATTAGACTGGGGCTATGACAGTAATGTCTGCTGGCCAGTGCTGGGAAGATCCCTTTACTGAACTGTGCTCAGTTTCGCCAGCTTAAAAAATTTCAAAATACATATACAGGATGAAAATGACCTTGTTTCTAGCAGTTTGAGATCCACTGCTAAAAACTAGTTTTGTTTGCTTGCTTTGCTTTTTGACTGCATTTTCTACATTTCTCAAATAGACCAATGTCAGTGCCAGTGAGAACAGATATGCTTCACCAACTTGGAACCAACATGATCATTTGGACACAAGCAGCATAACATCGTTCTCTCAGAGCACAGTGTAAGAGTAGTGAGGGAGTTATTACCTTGTAGAGCTGGTGGAATCCAAAGGCAATTCCTGCCATTATGATAGCCAAAGCCCCATAATCTCGCCATCTGGAGCCAGGTGGATCTAAAGGCCAAAATCAAGAAATAATCATAGTCAGAACTGCAGGTGACAACATTTTCATACACCCATTTTATCAGAAGAAAGAGGAATGAATAATGTCAGTTCTGCTGTTTCTCAGCAGGCGTAGATTTACTGAGCAGGGGACATTAAGATGCTGGTAGTCCCTCAGGTACATTGTGCAGGCTTCTGGCCCTAGGCCATTGAAACATCTGTCCAGACCTCTAGCATTGACACTGGCCTTGCACAAGGTGTCAAAGAGAGACAAATCACAGCAGCAATTAAAAAAGTTCCATCAAGCTGTTTTGCCCTACTCTTTCCTTGCAGAAGGCACTCTGAACCCTACTGCACTTTCCCCAGATAACTGTCTGTGGTGTTAGTGCTTGCTAAGGTTAACTCATTACTTGAATACCAATTGTTCTTCACTATCATAATTTTTGAAAATGGGGACAGAGTCAGAGACCCAGAAGAGTACAGAAAAAAAGAAAGAAGGAAGCGTTTTGAGAAAGAAGAGAAATCAAGGCAATAAATGGGTTTATGAACACTGTGTCAGCAATTATGGACCATTTCAATAAGGAAGAATCCAGTGTCTTTCAGCCTGAATTACAAATAGGGACAAAAGCACAAATAAAGAACAAAGAGAAAATATGCAATTAAATATCTACAGAGAGAGGTAAAGAAGTAGATAAAAGCTTGAGATATTTAACACACAGTTCTGCACAGAAGCTTAGAGACTCCACAGAGCAAAACAAAGATATGGCATGCTCACTCCTTCAAGAAGGATCAGAAGACACCTGTAGTTTTCCACCAGCTTTATCCTTTCACCTCCCTCGCAGTTCCCTTAACGACTCTTGTACTGCCCCCAGTTTTCTTTAATAATAAAGAGGATGCAGAGTGATATTTCCTAAAGTTCAGTGGCAGGATGTGGGCAGAACTGACGAGATGGAGGTCGGTGTACAGTCTCCAAACAGACAGATCCAAATCTACGTGTGACCTACAATGTCTCAGAAATGCATTCTGTTCTATAAAGTTTCAATTTAGGCTTTCAAAGTGGCTGAAACGGCTGGAAGCTTGTCTCCTTCCTGCTTTGGTCACCTATTGCCATTGTTCCTGTTGCTGAGATCTTGCAAGAGTTACCCCTAATCCCAGCCCTCGGTCTCCACAGACAGGCACTGACTCTCAAATACTGGCACTCACAGCATCTTGCTACATTTTAGGACACAGCTCCTCAAATTATCCACTGGCTAGAAATGTGAACAAATTAAAGCAGCTCTGTCGGAACTGGTGAATAGTGTCACCGGCAGTATTTTGGCTTGCTGCAGTTGCAGTTTTGGAGCTTAGGCACGTGATCAAATTATCATAACTTTTTAACTTAATGAGTTAACACACATCAGCTAAGCTGCAGTAACTGGCTGTGTACATGTCAGGATTTAAAATGATCTCTGGCTAATCTTGCTGCAAACCCCAATCATCCATCCCACCTTCCCCTCCTTACTCTGCTCCCAGTGTCATTTCTGGTATCTGAAGTCTCTTGGTTGTCCAGTTCTCTGCCCTGAACTTCTGACTAAAAACATCCTTCTGTGATAACACAACTTGTTCCAGGCTGAACTGCCTAGTGTAAAGGGTTAATTAATCTCAGAGGGTCTGTGGGTCCGGCTGTGCCCTGTCCATGGCAGTCCTTGACTGGCTGTCCCTAACTACCTCCCAGTTGCGGTGACCCCCGAGTAGAAAGGAGAGACACCTGTAGAACCCTGTCTGCTTTGCCCTTTCACCTCACTCATCTCTCCCTCCATCCCTGTAATGCTTGAGCTAAGAACATTTTATTGCCCCCTGGTTTTCATTATTAATGAAAAGGGACCAGAATGATCTTTCCTAAAGTTCAGAGAGTCTATAAAGACAAGAAGCTGAAATGCCATTTTACTCGTTTTAGAGATGTGTGAAATAATTCTGTCTTGTGGCAAAAAAAAAGTGAGGGGGGTGGAGGGGAAAAGTGAGTGAGGGACGCAGTAAAGGCTCTGCATTGACCACATCAACTTTACAATGTTATGAAGAATGTCACAGCTCTTCCTAAAATCCACATTCAATCTTCCTTTTTCTCTGCAATACTCTAATCTAAAACAAGAGGTGGAGAGAGGGTTAGAAGTTTCTCAGCTGTAACTTCAGTGCTCACACTGACTTCTTTGCATAGCCTCAATTTCCCCACTTGTAGAACCGGAATAAAATTCAGAGAAAGTGAAAAAGCACTAATAGCCCAGTTACTCTTCAGTTTAGGCTCTGGGGAAGTAACAAACCATTCTTCGTAAGAGACCCTCAAAAGGCAAATGGAAGGGACAGACATTTTCTCCAGCTGTCTGTGTTTTCTGTAAGTGTACTTAATTTTCACAGCAGCAACTCTAAATTGCACTTCCAGAGTAAACATTTAACTAATTTTAAGATTCCCATTCATCTCAGAATTAACTTTCCTGATGTCAATTAATTAGGTCTTGTGCATCCAAGTAAGGTCAGCCTTGCTAGTATCCCCATTTAAAACTGTAGACACTGAGGCTGGAAGAGGTGATTTTCCAAAAGCAAACAGTGAACCAATGGAAAGGAGTTGGGGAAAAAAGAAAAAAAAGCGCTTGGATTCTAGTTACAATTTTTAATTGTAAGAGAAAATGGTCTGTATTCTACAGCCTCCCACATAATGAAGACACAGGGGTGGGAGAAGAACATCCAAATGGCAAGAAAAACAGTCACTGGAGCTGATTTTTAAGCAGGTGTAAAATCTGCACAAAACCCCATAAATGGAGACCGTAAATACCATGGGGAAGAACACAGGCAATACCTGGATGATAAGCATGCAGCTTTGCACACCTAGCTCAGAAACTCCTCTGAGTTTGCTTGTAATTACGGGGGTTAGAAAGGTAGAAAAAAATATAAACCCAATTAATCATTTAAATATTTAAAGTCAGATTTTTGTCCTCACTGCTGGATTAGTATATTTCATAACGCCAACAGCAGACAGCCCTGGTTTTTTACTGGGGGTTCATTTTAGAGCATGTTTAAACTAGTCAGATTGAGTGATGCTTCCAGCAACTAATCGCATGTCAAATAAAAGATATTTTATGTAATAAATTACTGCTACAAGTAATTCAAATGTCATTTATCAGTTTTATTATCAGTCAGGCAAAGTCTTGTTTCTCTATATTAATCAAATTCAAGCTTTTTTTAAGCTTTTTTTTTTTTTTAAGCAGTTTTGACACCTCTTGGCAAAAGTACAAACGGAGGGAAGAAATTACTCCTCCAGAACAGGAGGAGAAATAGTGGAGATAGTATTGAGCTAAAATACAGTGTCTAAAAACTTAATTCTTGCCTCTTCCTCCCAAAAGCTATTAATTGTTTCTCTTAAACCAAACCCAGGAGGAGTTCAGCATACAAGAACTATACTACTCTGAAGGCTTACAAATACGCTTCTTTCTCATTCAGAATAAGAACAGCTATTTCCAACAAAACATTAGAACATCAAGTAATACCTGCACTACCAGTTCAGTTTGTACAAAAGGAAGTATTCAAGTGGTATGAATTACTTCCTGCTACTTTAAAAATTAGACAGAGTTGACAACAGCAGGAGATCAAGCAAGTAAAAGGTGTGTGTAGGATTTATTGCTCTGACTCACAAGAGTGGACATCTTATACTGGAGTTGCTGGCAAGATCACCAACTTGGCTGTTTGCTCCATAACTCTTGAGATGGTGCTGAAGCTATCCTGAACTTCTGTACTCGTAATCCACAGTTTTAACGTAATTTTAAAACATGAAATCTTGTGGGGAGAGGAGACAGAAAGAAATTAGGTTTCTTACGACACTAGTCACTGCTTTTCAGCACAGCATCCTCCTCAACTGTTTCTCCTTTTTGCTCTGTGGGGGGGTAATTCTTTCTCTCTAGTTTTGTGATTTTGTGTAGAGGTGTCAAAACTACTCAAAAAACCCTTAAAAAGAATTACAAATATAAAACACAAAGTGGTTTACAGTCTTTAAGACCTAAACTCCAGCAGATCAGATGCTGCTTCACAAGAAACTCAGATGTGTTCTTGGGGAAGGCAAATATAGCTCATGATCTTTTTCAATATAAGCTCTTCCAATACGAGTTGTTCCCATCAACAAGTCAACTTACGGGTTCAGGAGTCTACCTATCGTATTAGTCCTTTAGATATACTTTTGAACTTCAAACCTCGAAGCATTCCAACACTACTGTCATGAATACTCTGTACGAAGATAAGCATAACAGATAGACAGAAAAAGTAGTATCTATCTCTCTGTACATGACAACCCCTGACAAATCTGTGAAAGATAAATTGACTTAGTAAACTATCACAGAAACAACTGTCTTGGAGCAGATTTGGACCAATTCAGAAATATTCATTACAGGATTAGCATCCAACTGATGAAATAACCTACAGCAAATAAGGCACCTTGAAAGAGCACTGAGCCACTGCACAGTCTCATCCACCAGATCTAGAGAAATTCACATATTCTTTTTGCAGTTCTGATACCATGGAAAGCACTTAACAGGAAGACACAAAGATGGATCCATTGGTAATAACACCAGTACTACACCAGTCAAGGACTAGAATAGGGCACTGATGCCACCCAATCAAAACAATATTGGTCAAACGAATACCCACATATATTTAGCTATTTATTCTTTTTACACATCTATTTAGAGGTTAAGCTTAAATAGGTCTACAAAGAATAGCTAGAGAGGGGAGGAATAATACCTAATGAACCTATTGTCACCATTTTCCAGATTTTGGGGGAAATAAGGGAAGATTAACTCTTCCAATATTGGGCTGTGATAAGAGTTAGCTAAATGAGCAACAGAGAGTGCTAAGAGGGATCTGGCACTGCTTCTTCAGCAAGAGAGCAGATTTTGCTTTTCTGTGAACTACGGCAGACAGGTATCAGCCCAGGAGGCAGAACTCAGTCCTGTAGTTCACCAGCACACCCAATACAGCAGTCGGAAATATTCCAGTTCTGAGCCCAACTCCATCACAAATGTTTTTCTTCCCAAACTGTGCCAAACCAGAGTATTTAAAAACTCAGAAGGCAAATCTAGTATCCTCTCTAGCAATAGCAAAACTAAGCCATAAACAAACAAACACAGCCCTAAGTGGACTGTAACATCAGTCAATATCTGACCTACAGCTGTTTAGGAGCAGTATCAAAATCCTATTCTTAATACTTGGCAGGTAAGTGAAGTGATTTTCAAACTGCCAGGCACACATGTGAGCTGAACAGCTTCTTTTGATGGATTTTTAATGGTGTGTACTTTGTTTTTTATTGTTTGGAGCTTAGATACTTTTTTGCGAGGTTTGTTTTAAAATGCAAATATATATGTAAATTTTGAGTCTACGCAGATTATGTTGGGACTTTAAAAATTCTTTGAGAGTGTATTTTGTACACAAAATCATACAATCACATCCGCACAGTATGCACAGAATTTCTGCTGTCACCCCTCAGATTATTTAAGATTGAAGAAAGAAAGCTTGTTAAAATTAAGGATCCTTATTAACTTTATTATTGTTTGTAACCTGACAGCACTCTTAAAACTCATTAATACTGGGGGTCCATTGTGCCAGACCTTAAACTCACACACAGGAAATCACAGACTAAGTCCTGAAGACCTTATATTGTAGCTTGCTGTTCATGCTGAAAATACACCTCTTTAAAGTAACTATTCAAGGCATTAGCTGCCAGAGTTCAAGGAGCATCTGGATGATGCTCTTAGTCCTATTGTTTAGTTTTAGGTAGTCCTGCGAGGAGCAGGGAGTTGGACTCCGTGATCCTTATGGGTCCCTTCCAATTCGAGATATTCTATGAATGGCTTAGTTACCTGACTAGTTAAGAAAATAAGTCCTCTAACTAAAATACAAAACTTTGTGATGATGTCCAACTGTTTACTGAACAGAGTCCACTGTTGCAGTAACTAAAGATGTAATAGTGTGGCACTTTTACAGCACCTTCTACCCAAGAATCAATCAGCTCAATCACATATTAATATTAATATATTGGAAAACCCTACTGATGAAGGGAAGCATGATCGTAAGTTTTAGAAGGAAGATTGAGTCCTACATTGACTAAATGCTTTTTTCAAGTCCTTATATTGGGTCAGAATCTAATCTGTATTGACCATACACCTTGATGTCAAGAGGTGTCACAGGCTAGTATGTATGGCATTTGTTTGTAGACGATGATCATTTGCCTTGTGTGATATGATCTTGTCACAGGCATCAACAACTATGAAGTGCCTTCAAAGTAACATTTGGTGTCCAATTCTGACAAAAAGTATGGTATTAGTTGAATGGAAATCTAGGATCTGGCGCAGAAATCTGTGAAATCGCTGCAGAGATCACTGCAGAAAGCAACGGGACCAGACGTTTTTCAAAGTGTTACTTACTATACACCACAGGGTGAGCGGGCTGAGCTGGCACCAGCTGTGTAGAAGGACCTGGGGACTGTGGCTCATCCGTGCTTGTGCCCGACTGCTGGAAAGCCAGGTCAATTTCTTCATCTGTCAGGCCTGGGGGAGCAGAGGAAATGAAATCAGTTTAGCACCTTTACCCACTTGATGCACGCATAATTAAATTCTCAAGCCAGGCAGAACCCTTTCAAGCTGCAAAGAATTTTGGCACTGACTTGAGCAGTAATGCCTCCCCAATTTTGGATTCACTGGAATGTCTCCCTCTCTCTTTCTCTGTTGCAATTTAACCTTAAGCGACAGAATATTAGCCTCAACGCTGCTTCCAAATGTGGCTCATTCAATTTCCTTAATTTATCCTTGAGTTTATTGCTGCTTTTGAAGTAGCTTTCTATTGCAATTCTCCATTCTTCCCCCGAAAAAAAGATACCATCAACTGCAAATGTGGCTCATTTTAATCTGTAATGGTGTAAAAAAAAAAAAGAGGGGAAAAAACTAACAATAATGCATGAAAACAGACAGGGAAACAAAAAACTAATTATTGGGTTAGACGACTAATTAGTCTAGATCGTTTCCGAAGACGGGAATAATTTGCTTTATTTTATGACAAATGCAGAAATAAAAAGAAAAAATCAGGACTGACTGTGATTAGTATGAATGGGACACAGAATGTAAGGAGGAAATAAAACTATAACAAAACAGATCAAAACAAGGCCAAGCCCAAACTTTCAGCTTAGCATTGCCCTGGCCTACTGCTGCATGATTAGATTGCCTTAGGGCAGCCTGGTTTTTATTTCACGCGGAGCTGTAGTAACACTGCACACATGGTGCATGTTGGTGCAGTCACTCCTGCCATCAGGAAATGCCAGGATGACCATCTATAATTGGCCACGACATATGGAAAGGATTTGGCCAACAAGGGGGAAAAGAAAAGCAGCCAAAGGATTCACGATGACCAGCATCTGTGAAGAAGGAAGCACAGCTGGATTATTTTTTCCAACAGGAGAACACATCCTCTAGAAAAAGAATTTAGTACTCAGATGGCAACCATGATGTGGGGCCTGGACAGCTGTGTATTATTTGTTATGTTAGCCTCCTGCACAGAAGCAGATAGAAAGGCAGTGTCTCTCCTATGAGGAACGTGTGAAGTGACTCAGGACCTTTTACTATACATGCAGCATGTATGCAAAAACATTCGCAAAGGTTGGAAGTGAGAATAGAGATTTAAGGAAAGAGGTTTAGAAGAGACGAGACAGATCACTTGATTCTCACACCATTGTTGTAAGGAACGAGCACACTGAGGAAAATGGTATGAGCAGTGGGAGAAAAATGGGGGAATGCTTTCTCTCCATCACCTCCACTCGAGGTCCATGAAGTATTGCTGGCAGATGAAATTCCTGAACTTAATCCTTTAAAACACTTAGCTCTTTAACATGACAGGGAGATACAACATAGAAAATGGACAGGCTTCTGGATATATTACCTAAGTTTCGAGGATATTTTTCAGGATCTTAAATTTCACTGCATACTGGAGGGTCTAGCTAGAATAATCTGTAGCACAAACAATATTGCCAGAAATACACAAGTCTATCTCAGAACTGTTATTTAATATCATAAAGCACTAACACAGTGCTTCTGGTATTCAGAAGGCTTTATAACTATTAACAGATCTTTTCTCTCTTCCTGTGAGTATGTGAGATACTATTATATCTACACTACAGTGCAGATACTGATGCACAGAGAAGGTGATTTCTCTAACATAACAGAATATTGTCAGTGTCAGAAACAGTATCAGAAATCTGAAGTTCCTGATCTATGGTCCTGTAATGACAAAATCATCCCTTCACTTGTATTTGATGCATGCCTCAAAACCACACATAAGAGTATGGAACAAGACTTGCAGTGAGAATAATTAAAGGCACATGAACACAACTCAGCCTACTGTTCTAGTCACAAAAGCAGTATTTATGGTGTCTAATACATGCTAAAAAGCAAAGTCCTAATCAGAAAGAAACTGTTTTATCCAATGTCAGAGAAAGCATAAACAGATGCCAACACTGCACATCACCAGCAAGTACAGAATTTCATAAAGATGGAGACATTATTGCTGCTGGCTGCAAATGTGGCTCCCACTAGAACAGGGCATTTTGTTTTATTTCCATGCAAAGATAGCAAATTTGATAATATTTAACACTTAGAAGCGTATGGAAGTTATGGAGGATCCTTACTTCATTGTACAAAAAGAGCAGGAAACAATCCTAACCATACTGCCCCTTTGATTCTCATCCTGTTTGAGAAAAAACCCTAAAATCTTTTGCAGATAAAATGCAGTTCTAGGATTATTCTGGTCTTGCCAACTAGGGACACTCAAGTATCACTGTTTCCATTAAAAGCATGCTGCACTGTGAAGAAAAAACTGATGTGAATGATAGAATGATGGGAAACCTTTCACATTTGAGTTCCTGGTTTGAATCCTGTGCAAAGCAGTGCAAATTAAAATTGTTATTACTTCCCTGGACTATTCTGCTGCCTTGTGAAGTGGTCTTGTTCATGGTACTAGTGGCATTATACAAAAGAACATCACAACTACATCCCTTCTTAATTATCAGAGAAGACTGGGAGCGCCATCACCTTGGAACACCTCCTTTTTATTCATCTGAACAAGATGTTTTTAAGGCCCTGTCATCTTAGCCTCCAAGCATCAACGGAATAATCGCCCAGAGCTGATTCCTTAAGCATATATACGGAATAAGTCTGCACTGCAACTACTCATCTGTGGATTCAGAAATATACCTGTCTTCATGGTTGTCATTTCTCACACACACTAACAAAAATGTACAAGATATTCTAAGACTGTCCTCAGGCAATTATAACTAACTCATCAAAATTCCCTTTGGACTGAATTTTTTTCAGATTCACTACCTACACACATGTATGGACACAGTATGAATTTTCCATGCCCCAAATTATTCAACCTGGATTTATTAATTACATAGAAGTGGGACTTTCTAAATCAGATCAAAGTGTCATTTGCTCCAATATCTCCCCTTGCTTTATTTTATCACAGTCCTTCTATCACTGCGTTATACAAAAAAGTATCCATGGTCCATTCATTGTTCTAACTAGCAGCAAGTTGGTAATCCAAAAATAATACCACTTCCCCTTGGACACAAAAACAGTGCCACAAAAACTGGAGCTTTGTGTCTAATATAATTCTCAAACAGGTATGTCAAGAAAATCACCTCAGTTTAACAGAAGAATTGCTCTAAATCCACCTTCTCAACACTTTGGAAAACAAATATTTTAGTTCTTCTGGAGTTTCAGCAAGATCAAGACCATGCAGAATGCAAAAGGTTAAAAGGAACAATAAAGGAAACTGCCAATTGTAAGTGAATTATATTTGGCTTTGAAAGCTGAGCCACGGCTATATTATAAAAGGCATCTCTTTGCGTTGTTTACCATCACCCTGACTAATGCAGACCTTTTTTTTTGTTTTAAATAATCTCATGCAAATTAGACACACACTTCCTTCCAGTTGATTGCTATCTGCAAGGAATAATCTAACCGCAGAGGGTACTGAGCAAGGACTGAGCTGAGGAGAAGGATGCAAGGAAACTGTCTTCATAGCCCTACAGAACGCAAACCCACTCCCTTCCCCCAACAATCCATCTCATTCCTCTACAGCACCACAGACATTGCAAAGAATTAGTCATAATTTTCACAAAGCCTTAAAATTTCCTTTTTCAGGCTTCAGGGTGTTGATTTGAATAATCCAGCACCCATGATTGTTTTGCACTTAAAGGTTCTTGCTGCCCCTCTTTTGTGATTGTCACTGCTGCCACTCAATTTTCAGGGATCACTCAGCCTCTGTAAACTGTAGTCAAACACAGAATCAGAGCAAGTCAGAGAATAAAATGGGTTGTCACAAACATCCTTTGGTGCCTGCACCTCGGGTACTGTATTGAAAGCTCCTTTGCCCAAGAACTTTTAAGACTTGACTGTTTATTTAGGCCCTTTTTTAATATCTGCTACTATTTAATATGTACATCAAAATACTGTTCCTCTTATGACCACGCTGAAGTAGAGGAGTACTTATGTTATCCATATTTTACAGATGAGGAAGAAGTGAGACGTACAGATATGAGAAGTGCTCCAAGGTCAGAACTGAACCTCTGGTAGTCAGAAAATAAAACTCAGGAGATGTGAGTCCCAATCCATTGTTTAACCATAAATCCATTCTTCTCTAGTTTCTGGATGAAACACGGTAACAATAATTACAATGCAAAACCCTTGCATGAGCTTAACTAGATGAGCCACTAAGTTTTTTCTTCCCTGACACAGGCTTTGACATTTCAGCGACAGCCCTTTTTCCCATCCCATCCATCGAGCATATATTTTTCTTCATTATATTCCTCCTTGCATTGCTCAATCCAGTAATTCATGCAAGATTTTCACAACCTGAAGGCAAAATTAGTTTTAGGGAGAAAACTTCTGTTTAGGAAGAAATTAAGAATTCTGCCATAATAGGGGAGGGTGGTGGAAAGAATTACATTCCTTTTGTGGGTTTCCAAAGCCAGCTTTATTACCATTCTGACAGACCACCCTGGAGCAATCATCACACCTTCCCTTTTGCAGGGACAAAAGGCAGGGGAGGGGTGCAGGGCGGTGGGTGGGGGGGTGGTATCTGTTGCTGTTTTCCTCACACATGCACACACTTTCTATTAAGAAGAAAACAAAAGAGAGCTGGACAACTTGTTTAGCTACAACAAACTATATGATTACAAGAAGTTAGTGCATGGTATCATATGACTAAAAGGAAGACCTACTGGTAGACACCCTGAAATGACATTACACTCCTGTTCCTGGAAGCCAGAGTCAACTCTGCTCAGAAAGAACATGGCCACATTTTAAAAGAATCATCATAAAAACCTTCTGGGATATGATCCAGACTAATGATTCCACCTGTTCAGTCAGTTACATGCAGTGCTGGGTGATTCCTTTATCAAATGTTAGTCCTATATCCTACTCTGTGCTTAGTCAAACACATTTCAAAAAGGTCTAAAAGGGTCTACAAGGTCTCCTGATCCATTTTCTTTCACATA